TGCTAATTGCGGCAGCTGTGCAAATTGTGTGCGCCGCCTGGCCATTTGATAGTTGACCATCATTTTGATGGCCTGGCCCGCAAGGAGCGATGCTCTGCGGATATCTCTAATGTGTGCGGTCAGAGGAGGAAATAACCAAGACGAAAAAAAGGAAAAAACTAATTGCCAAGTGAGTGAAGGAAGGGGAAAGTTTTGCATAAATGGCGGTCCCTCGTCTTGGCTTTCATCTCAAACTTCTCTCACTCTCTGGGCCGAAAAACTACGCAACTGGGCCGAGAGTGTGTGTTCGAGTCGTAAAAAATGGCAGTGCCGTAACACGTAATGAGATACTTCAAAATGATGTTATTGCTTTATTTATAGCGCTGCATAAAAAGTCAAAAAAAAAGAGGAGATGTTGAGAAGTGAGTTAAGGGGTGGCAAAGAATGTAGGCTCCTGGCATAGGTTTTTGTGGGTATATTTCTTTTGGGAGGCCTACCAGAACAGGCTTCATATCCTTTTTTATGCCCACGTGGATGGCCTGTAGTTTTGTTGTTCGCCCAATACCTCCTGTCACTCTTTTACAACCGTTTTTGTTTATTAAACTTCATCTGTCACACACGATGGTGCAGTTAAAGGAAATTTAGTTATTGAAACGGGGAGAAATTTAAAAGTTTTTTTTACAAAAATTATAGATATATTAAGGATATTAATAGATAGATCATAGACCATGAAAATAATCCTTGTATAAATAGTTTTTTTCTGGGCTTTCTTTCTCTTTCATACTTAAAATAAACGTATTTTCCCAGAGAGTTGAGGACTTTTTAACAAGAAAATCCTATTGAAATCTTATAAAGAAATACTATACCTCTTATTTTATGTGTTCCTAGAGGTAACTATACATTTTTTTACCGTGTATAGACACAGTGGCATACATGAGAATCTACAGGAACTACCTAGCCCATCACAATGGGTGCATAAATCTTATCTGTTGGCAAATAAAAGCTGCAGCCTGGCGTTATCGCTGTCTCTGTTCCTTTATCCATACCCGTCTCCCTCTCTCTCTTTTTTTTCTCATTTTCTTTCTCTTTTCCTCTCTCGCTTCCCTCTCGCTCCCTCTCGCTGTCTGCTGCTTTATGATTGTCTCGGATTGGCTAATAACTTTCATGAAACTCGTTGAACTTGAGTAATTGCCCTGGCTTCTGACGCTGTTCCTAGACACTGACATTGTTTAGATAAAATAATTCTCATTCATAAAATTATTCATGACCCGCTGTTTGATTAAAGGCTACCCAGAAACATGAGCAACACGAGCAGCTAAAAAGAGGCAAGAGTAAAAAGAAAACGAAGAGAGAAAAAATAAAAGCAAAAAAGGACATCAGAGGAGTTAAAGCGGTCGACTAATAATAGATGATGTCATGTCGTCGTGGACCATGTTTCCCTTCTCCTTCTTTCATTTTGTGTAGCAAAATTTGAATTGAAAGCTAATACCGGAAAGCAAGAATTTTCGCAATTTTCTTAATCGTCAGCAGGATGGAGAAGCGGCGTCAAAGAGTTGATTTAATGAGAGAGAGAGATTTCCCTTACTCTTTCGATCTCATCTCCCTATAATGGTTGGCCTTCTATTTTCCCCATCAACTGGCTGACTCATGAAAAATTAACACACAAATCGCACGGGGCAGACATTTAAAATGCACTTTGTTGCAACTGGCATGGCATAAAATTATTGCAGAAACAAAAATGGTCAGCGATAAGAACGGCCAAAGGAAAAATAAACCGAGAAATTAAATTAAAAAGAGAGCAAATAGTAGTTGCGACTTGGTGAATACCTTGTAACAAAAAAAATACAATCTTTTGAATAAAATAATAGAACCCTGCCTTAGGAAATGTAATTATTTCTTATATAATATAATATATACAACCCAGACTTTATAAACTGTTCGTCAAGAGCTCATACTCTTCTTACCACTGGGTATTGGGATAATGCTTTCGCCTTGACTTGCAGTCGAATGCTTTAAACTGCATCAATTTTAATGTAAATATGCAGCAAGGCGCATTAACTTTTGCTGCGCTCTTAAAAATTACCATAATTGCTGGGAGTCAGGCGAGGGAGCCAGTGGAGGGGGCCTCTGCTGCTGTTACCACACTCTCGGTCCTCGTTGACCCCACACTGTATGTGGCAGGGAAAGTGGGGAAAACTTTAATGAAAAACGTCCAGCACTTTGCACAATTAACGATTTTTCATGATTTCTCACCCACCCGCACGCTCAGCCACTGCCCGGCGGGCAATTTGCATAAATCAGGGCAAAGTATCTGTGACACATGGAGAGCACGCCTCGTAGGTGTGGTTCTCTCGGTGGAGCAGCCAGTGTGTTGTAGTGGCTCTGAAAAATGTTTACACATTTGCAAATGTCTGAAGGTCAGAGGTGAGGAGGAGGGTATGGCACACAGCCCACGGGCCCAGGGGCTGTGCAACATGATTTAGGCGTTCGCCGCTGAGTAATTGTTGTGCGGCAGTTCAGTGGCTCACTAGCGTAGCTTTAATTTAATTTATGCACAACTACAACTGCAGCAGGAACATCAGGCACAGGCACAACAGCAAAAGCAACAATAAATGCGGCGGAAGGAGCGCCCTCCGCCTTGTCAAGGGGCCACTAAGTGGCCGCTTCAGCGAAATTAAATGCACTTTCCCGGTTGTTGTCGTCGTCAACGCAGTTGTTGCAACCACCGGTCAATGGGTATTTTAACCAAGGGTATATCAGCACAGGAGGTATTATGCATTAAGCACTAATTAGTTAAAGCAGAGATGCTTTCATGCTAAAGGAATATATATACATTTACTATGTTCTGTATGATGACTTTCACCTGCAGAAAATTGGTTTCATTTTGCAACTACTTTGGTCAGCTTTCTCAAGCTGCGACCAGCACTGGCAAGCTTAATACCCTATCTTTAGCTTCAGGTCATTCAGGGTACAACGTGGGCAGCACTGCTACGCATTTTAAAAGCTAAGGTTTTTAGAAAAGCTGTGAAGTTAACACTTAATATCGCACCTCTACAATAAAAATAAATCTATAATAAACACAAATAAAACTAAACCACACACTGCACAATAACTATAAATCGGTATAGCAAATAAACCATTTAAAACTCTTTACACAGTATATAAAAATAAGTGCAATTTTATTTCCTTCACTTGTCTTCCTTGGTGGTGCTTAAATTATATTACTAGCCATCAAATGGTCGATTCTTGGCCATTAGAAATAATTTAATTTGCTATTATTCACGCTGACTGCAAGTTGCAGCTGCCTCTAAACTGAATTTATTATTATGGCCGCACAATGTGTTTAGTTTTATGGCCCAAGACGTGAAGTGTTTACGCAACAGCAGCAGCAGGAAGAGCCATCAGCAAGACTGCATTCCCCCGGACTTATTTAATGCGTAATTACAGCGCAAATCTTGTTAAGCAGTCGAAGAAGCTGAAAAGGGATGCGAAATGGCAAGATAGATACTCGTAGCTGGTCCACTTCGGAGCAGTCTCAAAAAGGCAAGACTTTGCCACAAGCCGGGGAAAAGGCCAAAGGGTGCAGGACCAAGAGCAAGAGCAAGAGCTGGGTGCTGAGAGGCAGCTTAGTGTTTGCTTCATTGAATTCATAAGCGTCTCGAAAAGTAAATCCTAGTGAACTTTAGCAAAAATCCTTCGCCCGCATCCGAGAGGATAGTGGAAAGAATACAAAAAAAATGCAGCTAGGAAAATCTCAGAGATAAAAAGCTAAGGGGTAAACCGAGGATTTTCCAACCTCATACTCTCTGCTCACCCATCCTGCGGGTCGTCAGAAGTCAATTAACTGCAACACTTGCAACACAACTTCAACTAATTAGCGTGATGCTGCCTCAGGTGAAGAGGCTGATGAAAAAGAGGAGGAGCGAAAAGATACACACTCATGCATATGTATGTTATATAGAGTACACCTCATCAGAGACCCCTCGGGGGGACTCAACAAAATACACACACACAAAAAATGTGCAGAATGCTTTTGGGCTTGCGGTAAATAAGAATGCACTTAACGTCGGGGTTTTAGATGAGGATGTGCATGATGAGAGCACGAAATGGGTGGCCATACACGGTGGCTGTTGTTTTTGGGAGTGACTTTTACGAGAGCAAAGTGTGTCAGGTTAATTCGGGTTAGTTGGTTGGGGCCAACAGGAAATGCTCACAAAGATAGTGCACATATTTTGTTGTTGCATTTACTATGATAATGATAATATGGCAACATTAAAGGTTACTTAGTTTTTAGATGGAATATATATTAAAGAGGCTATTAAGATAAGTGAATCAAAATGTATAATTTAATTAAAAAGAATCGGTGTATTCATAGATGCAAAATGAAATCTAGTTATCAAATTAAAAGCTGATGATAGTAACATATGTTTTAATACATTTTACTACAACCTATATTTCAGCGCTTGAAATCTATATTATGTTATAAATTATGGTAACATTTTGATAAGAGTCATATAGTGTCATCATGATAAGAGCATTATTAAACTAACATGTATTCAGTGTGGGAATTAATCTGCGCACAAATACTACACATTAATAATAGTGAATGATTTATTATAATGCTATCATCGTTATCGTTGTGGTTTAACAAAGTTGAAATCCGAGGGGGGTATGCTATTTCTTGTTTTGCTAAATATAGTTTCTTCTCTTCCAATTGAAACTAAAAATATCTTGCTTCCTTGCTTTCGCAACATTATTATCATATCACGAACCACTCCCACACTTTTGTTTCGCTTCTTGAGGTGGCCCATCCTCAACATCTTCATCATCATCATCGTCGTCATGATTAAGATCGCCGTTTAATTAGGGTGTCGCTTGTACCGCTTCGGGTTTTATCTTATCAACTCCCTTGGAGACACATTCGCGACAAGATGCGATATCGAATATATCGGGGTGATGATAAACACCAGGCACCTGGAGTCAGCATCGAATGCATCTCCATTTCGACTTGGACTCCCGCTGGGAGTGGTTGTTAAGTGAAAAGTGAATTTCCGTCCGAATGAAGCTAGCAACCAGAATGGATGGAGTGTGGAAGCGATTTATGGCCATGTTGTCGCTTCCGGATTTACTAGGTGGGTTGAGTTTCTATATATATATATTTCCGACATACAACCTTTCATCTCCCTCAGTCTTGGGTTGCTTGTGGGCCAGTGGTTTCTCCTTGGGATATTACACAAAGTCTGCCTATGTGTACGATAACCTTTGGCCCCATTGGTACGCCTTGGTGGGTGGCATCGTATCCTTAGCTCTGGCCTTGGGTTGGACCCTCAGGAAGCATAAGAAACAGCAGTACAGCTACGATCATTACTATATCATATTCTATGGATTGCTCTGCTCGCTGATGGGAAGTTGCTTCATGCTCACCAAACAACTAGGTGAGTGAGTCATTGCGGATGAATGAATGGAGTTCCCAGTGAAATGATTACCTTTCCAGGTGATAAATCACATATGATAGATAACGTATTTAGGGTATTACCAGCTTTGTTAATGGGCTAATTGATAACATGATTATTAAATTATTGCTATCTCACCTGGGCCAATGAACAATAATCCTCCACTTTATGTTAATCCTTTAGGTGTTAGCTACTACTTCAGCTTTGTGGGATTGAGTGTCCAGTATTTGGCAGGATTCAGCTATGTGAGTCTGCGATGCGATGCAACCGGCTCGAGGCCCTCAAGGATTGCGTTGGCGAACTCTCTATATGCGGGTGGAATGTCCACGGGATTTTTGATATTCAACGAGATGGAACCACAACGTTGCGGATTGATTGCCTTGGGGATAAACCTGCTGCTACTTTGCCTGGTCTGTCTCAATGAGCTACTGCATCACACGGGCTGTATTAATTACAAAGAATCACGGGATTTGGTGTTTAATCTACTTAACGAGGAGCGGATGGTCTTTCTGCCGCGTCAAGCCATTCTGGCCCAGTTTGTGGGAAGGACGGACTACACCCTGAAGGATAGCAGGCAGTGGTTGGTCTTGCTCCTAGGCGGATCGTTGGTATATCTCCAGAAGAGTTGCCTGCTTTACTCGCCCACCTACATGCAGTTGATGTGGAGCTCCACGGTGGGATATCTCCAGAGAACTCAACTCTTTGTACCCTTTGTACTGTACGCCGGCGGTACGAGCTTAGCAGCCCTGCTCCTGATGCGATATAGCCCCAAGTTGGTGTACCTACTCTTTGGATTCATTCAGATGACTTTGATAGTGGCCCTGCTGTGCATCTACAGTGAGGAGCAATCGGAGCATTGTTTCCTGTTCCTGTGCCTCATATACATCACCATGGGAGTGCTGTCAAGTCAGGGAATACACTGGCTACTCGAGTGCTCACCCTTCCTCTACACAGAGCTGGCCTTGGCTGCAGGATTCATACTGCAGTTGGTCGTCCTGGAGAGTTGCAAGTATGAATCGTATGCCACGGACATTTGGTTAGCCCTGCTTGTAGGCAGTATTGTTGCATTGGTTCTCACCTCCCTGGCCATTGCGGTGGTGCAGTGGCTCCAGCCAGAGTCCACCAGCTTGGTTGATGTTAGGAACCGCCTGCTGGGCATCCGGCGACAGCCGCAATCACCAGAACAGGCACAGTTCTGGCACACCAACCAGTTTCTGGCCCACAACAAGCCCGCCCATCAGCTGCAATCCGTTCAGCTGGACAGGAGCCGGGTATTCCAGCAGTATCCGATCAGTGGCAGTGACATCATCACCGACAATCCCAAGGCCGACCCTAAGTTTTGATAATAAAGTGTTGCACTTTAAACTCGCAGTTGTTTCTGGTCCATCAAGCGGAATCATTACTCACTCGTTGTGGAATTGTCAATGGGTTTACTCTGTTATTTATCTTCATTGCTGCTTCTTACACAGAGAGAATAGAATTGTCAGGGGTTCACGATTTGGAAATAAATACGAACACATTTTACCCAACTGCTTCATTTGATCTATTGAGTCGTTAAATTACTAAATTGCTTAATGGTTTACTTGTTGAATATTTTGTATTTATAAATATTAAAAATTTGCAGTGTAGTTCTATCTTTGCCTTTGCTTGTGTGAAATTTCAAAAGAAAACCACAAATACACTTAATTCCTATCTACTGAAACGATGTTAATCAAATGCCCTAACCCCAGAAAACATTGAAAAGTAAATCCCAGCTTGCAAATACTCTTTAATTCCCCTCGGAAACTAATTTCCATACAAGACTTATTTTAACCATTTTCCATAAAACATTCAGGCTCTGCAACTTGGCTAAGAAATTTCCTGTTGCCTTGTAATAAGCCTTTCACAGAGATTATTAATTATTTATGAGCCGGCATTATGATTTGCACAACTTGAAAGAAATTAAATCTCGCTGGGAATAAGTCGAAGAATGAGGAAGGAAGGAAGTATAGCTTTTGAACTGATGCTGCTGGTGCTGGGCAACGTTCGTTAATGATTTTTATTGATTTTTAAGCAAATTAAATTGTGCGTTAACCGCAAACTGAATTTATCATAAAGTCGCTTTATCAGTCGACTTGTGCTCCGCTCCTCTTAGTTCGCATGGCTTCTTCCAGCGGCGGCCTGCAGCCTTCAGACAGAATTTTATTGCCAAAACATTAAACATTTATATCCGCTATCAATTTCGTAACGACGGAAAGAGCGTAATCGCATCTCGGCTGTTGCTGGGTGAAATTTTTCCGGTTCTACCTAATTTAATTTACGGAGAATGCTGGAGCAGGAGTATAGGAGTGGGAGTGGGAGTAGGAGTCGGAGCAGTAGGGCCGCAACGTGCAATGGCAATAAAAGCGTTAAATTTGTTTATTTTTTCAAGCCCTGGCAGGTCCGCAGGGGATCCTGGCCCGCAGCGCAGGACTTCCCTTTTTTTTGTTTTGGAGCATTTGCCATTGGGTCTCGGGTCTCGGTTCGATTTCAGTGTGTTTTTTCATCCGTTCTCCCACCGGCTCTGCTGTTTAGAGTGTAGCATACCTTCCGGCGCCCGCTGGAAATCCTCCCACACGCTGTACACACAGGATATAACCACCTCCTCTGCTCCGCTCCTGCGCTTCTCATCCGCATTCCTTTTGTTTTTGCCTACCCATTGTTTTTAAGTGGATGCCGGCGCACATCCTTTGTGGCAGCATCACCAAAAGGCGAATGGGGCCACCAGTTCCAGTTTGTCGAACCGATCCCCTTATCACTAATGAAGTGGCCAATGAACTGTAGCCCAAAAGATTAAAGCGAAATTAAATGGCTAACCGAAAATTGATTGATCGAAAAGGGTGCGCAACGCAAAAACCCACACGAGTCGAACGAGTGAGTAAATAAATGAGAAAAATTATTCAAACCGATTTAGGTTGCGGCCAGTCTGCTCAATATGTTGTGTGGTTTGGGCGGTGAACAGATATAAAAAGGTGTACCACAAACCCAAAAAGAGTGTCACTTTTTCAATGGGACAAATTTACAGCAGTTAACTCTCAAAAAATGTAGTTTTTGCTATGGAAAATGTGGTTGATTATGGTTTGAGTTTTACAATTCATGAGGTGCTATCAAAAATAAATTCAATTAAATGAACAAGCTTTTGTTATAGTCAATTTTTAAAAATTCAACACATAAAGTGAGTTATTCAGGGATATCATTTTATTCATCAGTTAACACACTGTTTCCCTTAGTACAAAAAAGGGCTTTAATGAAGCATCACATTGGCAAAATGAAATCGAATATTATTTTCCTGATCGCACTGCTAACTCAGACTTAAAGATGCTGGCAGCAGCTATAGGTTGCTTTTCTCTTCCTTCGCTTCACATTCTCTGAGTCCTCCACGGCGAGCTTAAATTCCTTGACCACCTCAGGCAGAGCCTCATCGTGCTCATCATCCACTGTCCAGGTCTCCAAATGGGGTGGCCTATGGCGCATGATAAATGGATTAATGATGGCAGCCACTCCAACGGCATTGTTCAGGTGAACGTGATGGGTTCCCTGCACCTCATGCAGTTCAAAGTGTGGATTGTTTTCCCGCAGAATCCCAATGACCTCGTCGCTCTGCTCATCTATAAAATTAGACTCGGATCCCTTGATCACGCAGTAGGGAACATTCCGGATAGTTCTGGCCAGTTCAGCGGCAAAGGGTGGACTCGTATGGAATTCTGTGTAGTATTTACAGCGACCGTCACGTGAAAAGAAGAACTTGGCCGGGAACTTGGTGGATCTGCTGATATTACGCTCCAGTATGTGATGACAATTTTCCAACTCCACGGAATAGTCGGAACCCTTGTGCAGGACCTGCTCCAGCTCGGTATAGGTATACGCAGGTGGCTCCTGTCGCTTAGCATTCGCGAATCTCTCATCCTCCACCATATAGCCCTCGATGTTGGTGCGCAGGTAATCGATCTGTGAGGCTGGCTTCCTATACCGCGTCTTCACAATATCAATGCTCACCAGCAGGTCGGTGCGGTGTGGATAGAGGGAGGCAAATATGAAGCACAACATGGCGCTCATCGAGTGAGCCATCAGTGACACCTTTTGCCAACCGTACTCCTCCATCACGCGCAGGATCACGCACAGGTAGTCCACAAAGTGGTATGCGATGCCCTCGGGCAGCTTCGAGGAGTATCCGTGGCCAGGCAGGTCGATGCACAGGACACCCAGATGTTTGGGCAACAGCGGTAGCAACTTGTCCCACGTGCCCAGGTTGTCCAGCCAGCCGTGTAGCGCCAGGATGGGTCGCACCTGACGGTTGCCATACCACCTGCCTACCACATAGCCCCATGGCATGTCGATGCGAACATCCATTGGCTCCTGAAAAGGCACAGAGAGAAAAATAGTTACAAATTCGATATAAAGTTGAGGTGGGAAGTATATATATATATAAGAAATTGATTTATTAATTAATCAAATTCAATATTATTGTAACTATTTGATGTTTTTGAGATTTATTTCTGATTAGAAATTTACTCTATTTTCTGTGTAAAGAAACGAGTGGCAAAGAGTTTTAGAAAAGCGATAGAGTTGGGTTTATCGAGCGGGGTGCAAACTGGCGGGGACGGGTTTGTCCTGCTTGTTAGCTGTTAATTGCCAGTGGGCAACTTGGTAGCAGCTCTTAGCCTCCTGTCAGTCACTTTATTTGGCTTGGTTGGGTCGTAGGACCTGCGAATGGCAGCAATGGTCTGAAAATGTACCTCTAGCATTTACCAAAGTCAATTTAGGCGTGGCCTTAGCCAATATTTGAATGAAGCTTTAGCGTAATTTTTAGAATAACAAGTTTATAGTTTATCATTGTATAATTTACTTGTTGTAAATGTCTTGAACTCCATCAATAAATCGTGTCATAATGCATAGCTCATTAGCATTGACAATGAAGGATGCACTACTTTCCTTCCTTTTTCTGAGAGGCACGTGTCATATGGTCATATCATTTATCTCCCAGTATGCGTATGCGTACAACCCATCTCGATTTACTTCCCCATTCCCTGGTACTCAAAATACAAACTTCAACTCGGACTCTGAACGTTTTGATCAATTGGTTTATGTGAAAAAGTTGAAGCGGTTGACAACTGAGCGAGTTTTTCGGGCCCCGGGAGCAGGTGTCAATTGATGGACAGGAAGGAGGCTCCTGCAGCGCCACGAGTTCCTGTTGGGGTGACAATTTATCATCTAGTTTTTCCATTGTTTTCGGTCCAATCGATAAGCGATTGTGTGTCTCTTCCTTCCCTGCCTGTCTGTGTGAAATCCACAGCAACTAAGTGATGCTGCTGCACATGCAAACTCCCAAAAAGTTTCAACAAATGGATTTTGCCGCCGCAGAAAAGAACTTTTGCACGCTCACTCAGCTTGAAAATTAGCACACGAAAAAACACTTTTAAGTGTGACGAAATAGTTAGGAGCTAAAAGTTCAAACTTTTACGAAGCAAATGATACTTTGATGCACTCCTAATGAGCTCCATAATCGAGGAAGGCAATATTTTTTGTTATTAAGTTAAGGAGAAAGGCAATGTCACTTGTCATAAGCAACAGTCATTTTTTATGTACGTTTCTAGAATATAAACCAATTCCTATAGTGTTTATACTATACTTGAAAGCTTTAACTAATCCATTAAACAGCTTTCTGGAGCTACATTTTTATCTCTCACTGCCTGATACTTTATCTCTTATGTTAAGATCGTGTTCTTTTGATACACATTTTTTATGTTTTTGTCTTATTTTAAGTGGTAGTAACTACTACTTATAGCCTCTCAAAAAATAATAATAAAAACACACATTCCACCGGTAGCTGATGGCTCCAACTAGACATTGACTTTGATTCCGCTATTACGGAAATCTTATCAGCTTCGAAGAGTCCAAAGCGATAAGAGTGCAATTCCGTTCAAAGGTAAAAAAAACACAGACGGAACCGCTGGATTTTCATGGGAAATCTACACGTATTTAGACCGATAAACTCACGGAATCGCATCATATAACATTTTTAATAACCTTTCATGGCTCACAACAGTTGGCCCTCACTTGGAGCCATATAATTACCTGGTCATGTTGCTCGTTTTGTTTGCTGTCACCTCCTCCACCGGCTGATTCTGATTTCGATGTCATTGTCGATGGCTGGCAAGTGACACAATCTTCCAACAAAATCCGACACACGCGTGTCGGAAAATACTATATAATAATAATGACGCGAGACAGGGAAAACTTTTCTATTTTTGTGTTAATAATAATAACTAAATTAAAGAAAGACTAAGTAGGCAGAGAAGTGGTCACCAGCAGCACGTAAACAAAACTAAAGCGTGTTCCGCCACAGACGCCGATTAAATGCCACACACCGTTGATGTGAGTCTGAACTTTAATCAGGCATTACAAAAGCAAATATCAGGAGAAGGTGTCATATTAAGAGAACTAGCTGCAAAGAGAATATACTATATATTTAGAAGAGAGCCAAACTGAACCGATCAAGCAAGAGCTTTTGTGCTTAGTCATTAGTTATTGCGATAAAGAGTGAGGGAAAAAGCTTTACCATATTCTGATAGCATGAATAAATAAATAAATAACCAAAGTAACTACAATGCCCGCTTCGCAAAGGGTCAAAGTTCAATATATACATCAATGAATAGGTAAATAAGTTTATGAAACCCTACAATTATCATTAAAATATGTTACTTTCACAAGAAAACAAGGCAAACTGCAAATGATATGCCAATAAAGTCAAATTGTTGAGTTGAAAAACATTAAAATCTACAATAAAATGCGCTTATGAGTTTTCACATACACAAAATAATGTATTCAGCCGGAGAAAATCTCATGTTTACGCAGATAAACATAAATATTTATAGAATTCATTCGGTTTCCCAAAAGTGACCATCAAATAATTGATGCAAATATGCAAAACCTCATAATGCCAAAACCAGAAAATAAAATACTCTTCAGTATATTGCTTTTTGATCAAACTCCAGAGATAGGTAAGCCAGCAAAAATGCCAATTTCTATATTTTATTATTAATTTTTATGAGATTTGCACAAAAAAACAGTCAAGAGCTCCACACACACACAACGCACATACGATAAAAAGGATAAATTCGTTTTGTGAGCGCTTTTTATGCTGCCCCCTGCCATCGATTCAAAAAAATTAATAAACGAACAAATCAATAAATATTTATTTAGCTCTCGTGGCGTCCGGCCTCCAGAGTTCAACCTCAAATGTTGGTTGGTTTTTCTTTTAGGATAACACTGACCAAACATATTCAAAAATCTGGGGCTGTCGACAAGAGTTTACACAATAAATGTGTTTAGTTTCGATTCGATCTCTCTTTTTGTATGCGCTAAATGGAAAAATATTTGAAAAATTCTTTTCCAGCCGCTAGAGGGGCCAGTGGTCCAAATCATAAATCTTCATGGAGTGCAAATTGAATGTATCGAGCGACCACTACCAGCGATAGTTGCTCCCCAGCGCCATAAATAACGAATTGGAATCATAAATCTGGTTTGGGGAAAACTATGAAAAGCTTTTTAATTTCCAATGCAATTAAAGCAGCAGAAAGCCAGGCTCAGGATGTGGATTCAAAATTCGAATTCGCAGTGGAAGAAAGGAACCAGTCGTTTAATCAAATGCATCTGGTGCTCACCCTGGCCAAGTGGCGAAATCCTGTTAGCACCTTACTCGGCCTGCTCGACATTTTGGTTGGTGGCCGCTGCAAAATCAAATTACGATGCATGCGGCTGGTGGGGGTCACAGTTCACCTGACACCATGCGGAATTGGGAATTGGGGTTTCATTCCGCCTCCTTTACTAATGACATTCGAATGGCATTGGCGGATGCAGGCGCGCCCAGTCAACTGAACTTGGCTAATGACCCGAAGGCAACCCACTCTGGCCATATGGGTTACATAAATTATGGTAGTACGTTAATCAGTTTTAGATTTAATAACAAGCTAGTAATTAAAAGGAATGTATTATCTTTAAGGTCGGAATATAGACAGTCTTGTAAGGAAATGATAGTATATTTTTCTGTAGGAGAGGCAGCTTGCAAAGTATTGTTGTTGAGTTGCTTAATCCCAATTATTAGTTGTTAAATTCCCCTGAAGAACCTCTTCCGTCCAGTTAAATTCTAATTTTGAAATCGGGGCTGAAATGTATCACTAGGAAAATGTTTATTTTTAAGGTCGGAATATAGACAGTCTCGGAAGGAAATGATAGTATCTTTTCCTGTAGGAAAGGTAGCTTGCTAAATATTATTGTAAGGTTTCTTTGGGTTTGTTTAATCCTAATTATTAGTTGTTAAATTCCCTGAAAAACCTTTTCCGTCCAGTTAAATTCTAATTTTAAAATCGGGGTCGGACTTGGAGTTGAAGTTGAAGTCGAAGCTGGGGCCAAAGTTGACTGAGCGAAATGAAAGGTGCGGTGACAGCGTTCGTTACAGAATCATTTGCACGCCTCGCTTGGCCGCAGATTTACACTTGGTATTTTCTGGATTTATGCCAAAGCAAAGGCAAGCAAAAGCAGCCAGCCAGCCAGCCCCGCCCATACGCCCATCGGCGACGTGTCTCGCCCTAATATTGTTGCTAGGTGTAAAATGCAAAGTAATGGGCTTGAATGCGCCTGCTAAGGAGGCCAACAACAACAGGGCAGGAAGGCAGACCCAACAGGCAGGCAGGCAGCCAGGCCAAGGGGAGTCCTTTTGCGGGCAAAAGGAGCCTCTCAAATACCCTTTAATTGGGCTTGGAATTTTCCCAGTTCAGCAAATTGAATATCCAGAATTTACCTGGTTTTAGTTACTAACTTAATCTGCTGACTATATCTTTACAATTAGTACTGGATGTTATCCTACTAATTGGCCATAAATAGAGAATGTAAACGTCGTGTTCGTTGAGGAAGCTTATCATCATCCTGCTGCTGCTGCTATGTGAGTTTTCTGGGCTCCTGTTTCTGGTCTCTGATTTCTGGTAGCCTTTTGTCTGGCACTCAAGCTGAAAAGCTTTTGTCGGCGCATGGAAATTTGACGGAAATTGTTTGGTCTGATAGATGCAGATGCTGTTGCACCACCTCCTGGGGAGGAGGCTCCTGATGATCCCAGCTACTGTCTTCTTCTGTCTCGTTTTGTAGCTATGTGTACCTTTGCCTAATGGTCTCATTTCGCTCCGCTTTTCCACAGTTGGCTGTGTGTCAATCCTTCAGCTAAGTAAGCAGACAGTTTTCAGCATTATGGTCAGTTGAAAGGCCATAAACTGGCCCGTTTTTTCCAGACCCCGACTTAGACTCAGAGCGAGACCCAACGGTGTTGTCTAACCGAATGAAAATGGCAATTTCAATAGAATTTAAACTTAATTCTTATCATTGTTGTTGCTGTTGCTAAGGAGGAGAGGAATGGGAACGAGGCAGCTGAGATTACGCCAAGCGAAATAAATGCAAATCGCATTAGAATAAATTTTGCTAGCTGCTTTCTGGCAGCGTGACTGCCACTGCAGCATAATGTCCTTAAAATGGCCAACCAGACGAAGCTCCTCGAGCTGCAAACTTTGGCGACGACAGGTAGCCTAGAAGATAGTCAAAGGACTCGAGGAGACACACTCTGAAAAACTATGATTTCTAGTCGTGAAAAGTCGGGAAATTAAAGAAATAGTTATTGTGTTATAACAAATTCTGTAGTTATTTAGTTTTACCATTTATAAGATGTAACTTTAATTAGAAATGAAATGTTTTGAATTTCCATTTTAAATACATTTTTGTTTCTTGTGTAAGGCATCTCCAAAAAAGGAGAATCATTAGGTTGAAGGAGCAGGGACCTCTTCTCGCCCAACACAATCAAAATCAAGTTGAACGTTGAACTTTTTAATGCATAATTTATGGCCGTTGGCCCGTTTAACTGGCGAAACAAACGGCCAGAAGGACACGCAGGTTAAAGCCAAGCTCTTTGTTGATTTTACCTTGGTATTATTTTTTATGCTCTGCGTGGAAAATCAGTTAGAACAATGAGCGGTGGAATGCAGATCTCTTCTGTGGCACATCATAAATATTTATGGAACGTCTTTTTGGCCAAGGCACGTAGCCAGTGGAAAGCACCTCATGTTGAATGGCCAAGCGATTTATTGGGGGATTCAAAGGAAAATCATCTTTAATGCCAGCACATGCGGCACATATAAATATATATATATGGAGAAGAAATATTTCTTTTCAATTGATTTGTGGCGGTAGAAAATCAGGAAATACGAACATGGGAGGTAAATGCGTCTAAAATAAGGTAACATTAATTTATGATGGATAAAGTACGTGCTTAGTCCTTTATGATTTGTATTTAATATTTTTTTGAGAGCAAACTAGGTAATAGAAAACCCCTCTTATCCTTTTTGTACTCAAATTCTATACCCTCACTTTAGCTATTTTGTCTGTGATTGACCATCTTATCCACCCTTGAGTTGAGATAGTTTTATTAACCAAAATCATCTCGCCATCTGTCGTTGTGCTGCCAAAAACTTTCCAACTCTCTGTTTGCGTGTTTCGCTGCCACAAAGTAGAAATTGCAAGCCTGAGAATCTCTGCCGCCCCCTCGATCTCCGTCGAGTCACAACTATCAATTAAACTAATTAGCTTGATTTCCCGGCAGAGTTGTGCAACCGAGGGACACGCCCAAAACTTTCGCCTGGCCGCGATGCGATGGCTTCCTTTGGCTCGGTTTGCCTCGGTTTGGGGTTTTGGTTGGAAAATTCAATCAGCGCGTGCAGAAAAACGCAATCAAATGATTAAGTCAACAAATGAAGGCAAATTGCTGGGGCGCATCAGCTGGTGCATCTGCAGCAGTTGACTGACTTTTGGGATGCTGGAAAAATCGAAGCCAGATAGCGAAAAAGTCGCCAATGAGCTTGTTCGTGGCGAGGTCTTTCTCAAAACTTTGGTCGGCTTCCCTACAGGGGATATCTTTTTGTTCCCTTCTTTTTTTTGATTCGCCCAAATGTTTTTTGTGACTTGTCCAGGTTGGGTGAAGGAAATCGAGCGCATTTTAAGCAGGTGAAAAAGCGCAGGGGAAAAAACTTTGGTCTTCCTAATGAGTTTGCGGTATTTGGACCATTGATTAAATCGAGGATGCTGTCGGAGCTTTTTATCGCCACCACCTTTTCCTCGTGTTGGCCCACAACATATTTTAGTCATTTTTATGACCAGTTTTTGCCACTCGAATTTTTGCTCTCTTCTTCTCTGGTCCTCATTCAAATTCAATTGACTGCAGCAGCTCCTCCTTGATGGCAGGGGCGTGGCACGTGCCACACATATATATATATATATCTATATCTATGAGTGAGTGTGGAATGGATGTATGCATCATCCTTCCAGCATATTTATTCCTCCTTTTTTTTTGGTGCGATTGCCTGGCAGGAAATTTATTTATATTCAATTTGTGAATTTATGCCACTTTTTTTTGTGCAGCAAAAGCGACAATGCCGGGGGAAATTCAGTTTGCTGCAGATGCATCTATTGGATGGGAAAGGATGCAGGCTGTGCACCAGGCGAAATGTTCCTGGGGATTGCTTTTTGGGGGAAAGTATTTGGAAAGTGTTTAAAGGGAGCTTAAGGCAGCAGAGGATGGACTTTCCTAAGAGGATTGCTAAGATGTCTTAAAGACAAGTCAAGCTAAAATATACGAACTTTGAGCATATGGAAATCTATATTATGTTTTGAGCTAGCTTATTGTTAAACCATAGGAAAATACTTGAGAGTATTTAATAACTTATTGGGAATGAAAATGTATTATGCGATGAAACGAAAAATAAAGTAGAAAAATGTACTGAGTCAAATGTTTTAATAACAACAATAATAATAAAGCAAGAACTACGAATCTGATTTAAAGTTTAAGATAGCTTAGTATGGCATAATTATTATATTTATAATTATTCTTAAGAAGAAACCTTCTTACTGCGAATACTATCAGCAAAATACCTAATTTTGTTTGCCAGGAAATTCCCTTAATGAGGAAAACTAACCATAAAATGTTAATTTTCCCTCAAGACACTCTTGGATTTAGGGAAGCCATTTTAGCAATTTCTTGCAGTGCCTCCTCAGGCTCTTGAGCCTTTGTTGGTTTTCTTGCTCGTACTTGCCGTTCTGTGGAAGGAAACTTAATGCTGCATTTACGGCTACTGATGCATTTACTGTCTGCTGCTGCCTGTCGCTCTCTGTCGATAATGTCGATTTCGAGTGGAACATTTTCCGCAAAATCATAAACACATTTGGCCAACAACTGATTACCTAATCTGAAGGACTATACCTTACCCAGCTAGGTACCATGTTACCTGATTACACCCAAAGGTACAGTCACAGTTGACCAAGGAAACCAGAGGTATAGGCTACCTAAACGAGGAAAAGGGTACTCAGGCCAAGGTACAGGTAGTGAATAGGGATACCCTGCAGGGCTATATAAGGTGATCGCAGGATGGACATCCTTCATTCCGTCGATGTTCTTCCACAGCGATAGTCAGCCCTGAATCGTCGTCCGTCGAGAGTGTGAGTTTTGCTTCTGTGATAGCTAGACCCAGTGCCAAGTGTGACCAGGAGAAGGATGTTGTTCCTGGCGCCGCGCAAACATTTGTTTGCGAGCAACTTGATCATTTTGCTAATGATCTATGTGATGCGCAAGTGCCTGCAGCTCTTCTGCATCATCGAGAATCGTGGCGTTAACCCGGAGGAGGAGAACGAGAATAAGGAGCCACGTGAGGTGGTCAAGGAGCGTCGTCGCCGCGGTGGCTTCAAGATCATCCCCGATGCCATGCACCAGAGCATGCACGGTTTTGGGTACGGCGAAGGTCACTACCAGATCTTTGTGGAGAAGAAGGAGCGCAATTTGCCCACCAAATCTCGCCTCAACGCGGCCACAGCCGAAGTCAAGCTGAATCCCAATTAGATGATTTTCTTGACATCAAAAAGAAAACACTGACATCTCGCCGGATGTCAAGAACAATGAGCCAATTGAGCCAGCCATAAAAATATCCTCCTCCTCAAACCCCAAAAGGATCCCCATACATATCCAAGTCTTCTTCAATAGATTTAAAAGTAATAATTAATTGTATGCCTCAAGCACTTCTCTTTTTTGTAACCCACTAAAGCGCATTCTTGGCCATTAATAAAAAAAAGCATAAAAATAGGTCGGTTTTTGATTTATTGTATTCTTTTTTTAGTATTCAACCAGAAAATTTAAAACCTCTTAGGCTTTAAGAAGAAATTTTCTTTTCTTTTGAAGAAATCAACATTTGATAACACTTTCCCTGCTTCCTTGACTCATTTTTTACCCATTTTGTATTGATTTCGAATGTATATTTTTCTATTTTATAACCAAAAGAAAATCCCATAATAGAATATAATATTTCCTTGCCCTCGCTTTGATTGATTGTCCCTTTGTCGTAGGCCGTGAAAATGCCATGTGAACTGCAACTTTTCCACTTACTTTCATTTCCTTTCGGACTTGGACTTGCTTTCCTTAAGAGGGTGAAGCAGATTTCATGCCGCTTGAAAAATTATCTCTCTGTGATCGCGTGGGTGTTGCAGCAACATTAAATGGCGCCAAATTTATCACAAAGTAGAGCTAAACGCACATGGAGTTCTGAAAATCCTGGTAGCCAGAAGGATGTGGTGCAGAGTGTCAGTGGCAGTGGCAGAGGCAGTGGCAGAGGCAGTGGCAGAGGCAGTGGCAGGCAATATGCTTTCAGTAATTTGCAAATACTCTTGCCGAATAAAAGAACAAATGCGGTGGGGTATATGGATTAGGAGAATGTCATATATATGGGGAATATTTAAAATGATTACGGAATTACAAATTGGATTAACACGTAAAGAAGCTTTGATTTATTTTACATTAAACAAAACATTTATTAAATACAGGCATTCCAACTCTATAAAAAAGTGAACTATAAATAAAAAACTCAATAATTTATGTTAATTGAATAATAAATAATATTATACTAAAGTCATTTGCAACTATATAATTAAGCTTAAAATCTTGTCACACACTAAAACTTTTATATGCTATTAATTGTTATTAAGTTCTATCCCATTTTATACTGAATCTCCTCAGGATTACCAAGATTTGGCTTTAGGTTTTAGCTTTTTCTTTGTGTTAGAGCATTTCCAGGTCGCCGCTAATGCTGACCCACTTCCATTGTTCGGCATTGGCCAAGATAAGGAAGACGGAACTGGCAGAGCTCTCTCTTGGCTTGAGCGCAGCAATTGTTAGCAAATCTATCATCATCATGTTCTTAAGCACGTGTCGCTGTCCCTTTTGCGCCCTTAGTCCCGTCTCATTCTTTCACTGTCTCTATCTTTCCCTGTCTCTTTCCTTCCCTATCTCTATAGTATAAAGTTGTGTGTGTGTGTGTGTTTGTGAAGAGTGTGCAATATTTTCTGCATTGCATTATAAATGCAGGGAAATTTTTAGTTGTAAGCTGCATCAGCCCTCAAGCTGCATATAAATTATTCCACCAAATCCGAAACCCGTTCCGTTCTACCCCTCTAGCCGCACATGTCGTCATTATAATCGTGATTGTTATTGCTGTAATTCTAATTCCATAACTATGTGGCTGCCATTACGCATACGCCATGTGGAGCAGCCACATCACCCATCCGCCATGTGGAACGTGCAGCAGCAGCAGCTGCAGCAGCTGTTGATGTGTAAAAATGAAATGTCAGTCGGATAAGCGCCCACAGGCATCCTGGCCATAATGAGGTGGTTCTGAGAATAACACCCTTAAGCTCAATATCGGTGGACTTTACTCCTCTTTATGCTCTATTTTTTTTGTATTATTTTTTATTTTGTGCTGGCACCCGCATAAAACGTTAAGCTCTTATGTAAATCATATCGCTATTGTTACTCTCATAGTTTTTGTTCGCTGCTGGACTCATTATAATTAACAATTTATAAAGCGTTAATCCACACTCACACGCAAACGCTAACTCTCGTTAGTTCACAAGCACAAACAAAGTACACTAAGGAAAATGCTGGGATTCTAGAAAGGATAAGGGAAAAATAATATATATATAATAATTTATATAGCTGCCATTGAAACTATTGGAAGATGTAGAGGAAAATTCAAAACTATGAGTGCAAAACTGCTAATTTAATATGTATCGTTGAAGGTGATGAAATTAGGCATTTCTTTAATTTTTAGCGCCCTCTCCCTCTCTCGTTTTCGTTCTCTCCCTATCTGCCTTTCTCTAGAGATAGCTCTCTCTCTCTCTCTCTCTTGCTCTCACTTTCTCTGTTCTCTTTCCCCAGGGAGTATAAATACAGGTGCGGCTGCTGCGCTCCCCTCATTCTGTCCGCGGCCTCCCCGCTGTTTACATCGATGGTGATAGGTGTAGTGATAGTGATTGTGATTACCCTTCGACCTCAACTACATCAACTAAGCAATACATTTGGACACAACCAGAAAGCCTAATTAAAGTCACCAAGAATGCAACTCTAGACTGGACAGAAGTAAACAATGACGAAGCAGGATAACCATGTGTCCTCTACTGCGGTAAGTCTTAACCATGATAATTATAAGTAGGAACCGGCTGGATTATATAGTTTCCAAAGGAACTATCGGAATATATTTATGCAAATTGGATGATTATATGATTTTTCTTGCTTTGTAAATGTCTAGCTATGTTTTCTTCTCTCAGTGTACAATATCCATTGACGGTAATTTGCCAAGGCAGCCAAAAGAGCATGTTCAGCAACAGCTCTGGCAAAATCCAGACAAACAAACAAGTCAGGGGCGCAGCAGTCAAGGAGGAGCAGTAGAAGGGTCCTGGCTGAGTGTGAGTAAGCAGCATCCATTCGCTGGTAAGCAGCTTTCAGCTCTCGTCCTCCTTTTTGGTTTTTTTTTTATTTTTTTGAGTCCCTTTGCGATGCCGCCCCTTTGCCCGCCCCGCCCTAACTGCTTCCACTGGCACGTCGCGCGCATTAAGAAGATGAGCTGCATTTTTCATGCATGTGAAGTTGAGATTGCAGCTGCTCATTTCATTTTGGCCTGGCTTTCAGCAGAAGCTTGGCATCCTCGGTGTATCCCAGTGCGGCTTCATCCGCATCCTGGCAGCGGCTTCTTGGGTGTGGAGGGGGCATCATCATCATCTCCATCCCGTCCGCTATTCAGCGTCATTTGTATTAATTGCCCAAGCATTTTGCTCTGTGCAATGATACCGAAAATGTGGAGGGGACACCATCGCAGTTTTCTTCTGTTTTCATTTAGTATTTTCCTTAATGCGCCACATAGCTTTCTGTTGGGGTTTTTCGTAGAAATGAGCTCTGGAGAGTTGTTAAAATGAAAATAGAATTTCGGGCACCCCAAAGTCGCTGATAGTTATCGGGAAAACTTTAAGCCAAAGATTTATATTTTGGTTTTTCATTGTAAATTGTATAGAAATTTCTACAGTCACATTAACTAGTGATTAAAATTTCCTTTAAAGTCGCAGCTTTTTGCTGTTCTGTTTGCGAACAAACAAATTGCCAATTTAGCAGTTTGGCCAACAGTTTGACAGCCACCGGCTCAATGCGGGTTAAGCCGACAACAGACTTTTATGGACGCTCAATTAGTGGCTCAATCGAGGGGGGAAAAGAGCCAGAGCCAGAGCCATAGCCAGAGCCAGAGCCATGCGCGCGTTCGATTGAATTTTATTGAGTCTTTAATTGATGCCATGCATGTGGTTGGGATTTCGGATTGCAGCTGCCCGAAACAATGGTAACTATTGCAGTGGAAATTCCAACGAGACTCGTTTCGGATTGCAAGGATAATAAGGATAATTAGCCAAGCGGAGGAAGCCCGGCACAGAACGAGGCATGTAAATGATTTACAAAATGCCAGGAAATTGCCTACTTCCGGCTCCTCCCCCATAACATTCCGCCTCGCTGACAATGGCTTGAGGCAGTGACGACGGCGGAAAAACAAAGGAAACCATTTGAAAACCGCTCACAACTGAATGCGGCAATTAAGCAGGGCTAATGAAGCGACAGTAAAAAAAGGAGGAATTCTCTGCACAATTTTAAATGCGAAAAACAAACGCAAACGCATGCATACAAAATCCAAATAAAGTCCAATTGCAAATGGCAAAAAAATTTTAATCAAATTGTCAAACGAGGAAAAAGAGGTAGCGATCACCGAATAATAAATAAATATTCGATTTTAAATCAACCCAAATGAAGGACAACAATATGAAAGGAGCAACAAAGGGAAATTAAAATGGTATTCCATGAAATTATCGAAGGCCGTAAATACAATAAAAATACACAATTTAAAATGTGCTCAAATATGCATATATATATATTTATTATTTTAAGCGGATTTCCAAGTCGACAAATGTGTGGCCACAAAAAGACACACACAGAAACCAAGCCCATTAGTGAGGCTTATAAATAAAGTAATTAAATTTAATAAAGCATTGTCCAATCCCGGCATCCATCATCTGTCAATAAATGCCACAAGACATATGTATTGGTTCCTGCTCCTCCACTTGACATTAAATATTTAAAGTCAATTAAGTTGAACTAATATTGAAAAATATATATTCTCTCAAATCTATTTTCTCGAGTTTATATATTTATTTTTGGCCTTGGATGCTTTGCTTTTGGCTTAGTCGAGTCAATTTTCGACTGCCAGGCGCCACATTCCTTGCGAGCCATAAACAAATGTGTGGGGACAATGCGCATACGCCGTGTGGTCGGCCGAACTGTTTATTGCAACTGGGCACTCAATAAAGTATGGAAGGCCTATAAATTTCGATTCCCTATAATGTAATCACATATAAACGCTGGGATAACACTGCCATTGAAAAGTATGCAAACAGTACACACTAGATGACACAATGGCGGCTATATGGTTGCCAAAATTTCGGCTGGCACTGTCATGTCATGGATTTTAGCGTAACTTTCAA